TTTTTTCTTAGTCATGAACAGTTAGGGTAAGTATTGCTTAATGTATCCTTGGTCTTAGAGTTGTGTGTGTGTGTACACATTTTTGTTTGCAGAGTAGAGCATTTCTTCTCCTGAGTCATGGTAAACACACTTGAAAGCCACTACACTAGATGTGGAGTGCCAATCTTCCATTGTAAGGTCTCAGAAATAACTAATGGGTAGAGCCCAGTGGCTACTGAATATGTGGGGTTGAATTTTAGGAGCAAAGCAAAGCTGGAGAGACCAATTATGCAGTCATTGGCAAGAAGATGCCATTGAAACCAGGGGGAGTTGATTAGGCCATGCAGGGAGATAGCATGGAGTGTGAAGAGAAAAGAGGTCTGGAATAGACCACAAGGAATATGGACATTTGGTCTTGGGGGAGAATTTTCCTCCTGGGGTTGTGCTCATCCTTCATGCTTTCTGGTGTTTTTTATTTACTCTCTAGAGAAAGAACTGGATCCAGGGAAGCTCCAGAGTGCCTTGTGACCCCATGTTAATTGGAGCTGATTCTGTAGCAGCCTGGTGGAGCCATGGCTCATACCGTGCTGGGTCACGAACCAGCACCTGGCATGGGGTCCTAGGAGCATACCACACTGGCATTCAGGAGTTGTGTGTGGAATGGATGTTCAGAGCACAGAAGTTCTAGGAAAGATGGAAAGAGCTTTTTAGATTCCAAAGCTCCAGCTCATGAGCTGTGACCACAGACGGGTCTAACCTCATCAGTCAAGGTTGACTCAGTAGTGTCAGGGTACTATTTATAATTTTCAAAGAGTATTTTTGCTATATAGAAGAATAGAAGGAGCTGTTCAGGGAGATATGTTCTTTGTAGCAATATCAAGAGGCAAACTAAATGTTCATCCATAGAAACATGGACCACCTGGCATAATCAAACAATGAAATAGGATAAAGCAGTTAAATAGGTGAGCCAGATCTACGTGTGTCAATCTGTATAAATATCAAAAAGTTAACATTACATGAAAAATTTCAAGTCACATAATGTGATATGAAGTATGATATCATTTATTAAAAATTTTAAAGCACACAAAATTGTACTATACATACTTATGGGAAAAAAAACTAAAAAATTATGTAAGTGAAGGGGGTGTGCAAACTTCTGGGCAGTGGCTCTCTTGGGGGAGGCTACAGGGAAATGGATGGAGGAATGAGACTTTGCTCTATCTGCAATGTTTTCTTTTTAAAAAGAAGCAGAAGCAAATATGGCAAAATATTAATAGTTATTAAATAAGCAGTGAGGCATTGGAAGAAATTATTTTCTGTTCTTTTCATAATTAAAAATAAATACAAGTGTATATACATTTTGCAATGCCCAGAGCAAGAATCAAGCTTCCTCCCCTGACAACAGGTTAAGCAGGTGACCTGTAAAACAACTACTAGAGCAAAGTGGGTATGCACACACACACACACACACACACACACACACACACGTGTATATAAAACACACACATATATAACACAAACATGTGTATATATAATACACATACATACACATATGTGTACATGTATACATACATTATACACACACATATATACACACATGCATAACTTCAAATTAAAACAGTAAGATTTTAATTTTTAAATTATTTCTTCAGTTTCTGAGAGATTATACTTTTCTATACGGGACCCTGACCTTTTTCTGTGATTTGACCATGAATCTACAGACTATCTGTGTCTCATTTTGAATGATGATCCTGGAGGATCCAAGTGGTGCAAAGAAGAACAAAGGAAGTCCCTGAATACTGGGGACCACCATGGTGGAGGGCTGGAAAGATATGACCTGAGGAATTACAGAAAGACTACAGGACAAAGCCAATAAAGGCTGGTGGGAAATAATGGAGAGGGGAGTCAGGAGGCTGGGCTCAGCTGCTAGCTCAAATCCCAGCTCTGCTGCTAACCACATGTGAGGACTTGATGTCTCTGCCCTCTAGTGGGCTTGCATTCAAACTTTGGTTTAGCTCATCTCTCAGGACTTTTTCCAGACACGACAGGGACTGACTTCTCAATCCTCTTAACTTAAGGGCTTTGTCCCCCCATGCCAGAATAATCAGTGGTATTCCAGGGATTCTGGAAGGCTCCCTTGTTTGGTAAATTCTACCCAATTTCCTTATTTCCTCCCTCTACAGATTGTTCCTATCAACCCTCCTGGGCATGCTGTGCCCTCCTCTGAGCCAACCTTTGTGTGACTGGGGAATTTAAGAGGGAACTGGGGTAAGTTGAGGAGGCATCAGTGGGTGATAGACAGACTGGGTGAAGAAAAAGTTACCAAACTTTTTGGAGAAAGAAAGTCTTATAAATTTCTCAAGGGTAGGAACACATCTACACTGATAGTTTCTTATCAACTCACACATCATCCTTCTATACAAGTTCTGCATGTATACTGTGTGTGTGTGTGTGTGTGTGTGTGTGTGTGTGTGTGTGTGT